TCATCATCAATAATAATAAGATCTATACAGAGTTTAGTCCACATTGGTGAAGATTTTTAATGTTGAAAAGGGAGAGTATGAATCACGTCCTGTTTTTTGTTTATGCAGTTGGCAGGAAGCTTACCTGTAATGATAACAATCTCACAGGCTCATGGTTTGTTGAGCTTGAGTTAAGGTTTGTGATTGTGAGTGTGTTGGGAGGGGTCATCTCATGCAGTCCTGCAAATCCTCAAATGTCTGATTCGTTCACACCAACAAAGAATTCCAGATCAGTCTAATGTGTAAAGAAAAAAGGAACCACCATGTTTCCGTTCCTCAAACATAGTCATCAAAGGCAACTTGCGGTTCAGATGCCATCTTCTGCTTTCTGCTCACAGACACAACAGAAGGGGCTATTAGGGTTCTTCTCAGGGGCAGCCAATTTATTGTGGTCACTAGAGGGATGAGGGGAGGCCTGCACTTTCTTAGATAATGAACTTGCATGACATCATTGTACTTTGCTTTCTTTGGAAGGCGATAAAGTACTCAACTTGGTTTGTCTGGCATTTTCTTAACATTTTTCTGATCCTAGGTCAGTGCCGTCCTGGTCAGTTCTCCCATGATGGCTTTGTGCCATGTCTGCCCTGCCCACAAGGCACCTATCAGCCTGAGGTTGGCCGCACATCCTGTTTCCCATGTGGAGGAAGCCTCACAACCAAATATGATGGTGCTGTGTCCTTTCAGAATTGTGAGACCAAAGGTGAGAATAATTCATTCCTAACGTCTTCGTCAAACGTTTTGGGTTGGTAAAATTATTAAAAATACATTTTTTAAAGGAGTCTCTTATGTTTACCAAGGCTGCAATTATTTAATAAAAAGAAAATACAGTAAAATAACAATTTCAAATAATGCTTTTTTATTTTAATGTATTTTAAAATGTAATTTATTCCTGTGATGACAGCTGAATTTTCAGTATCATCACTCCAGTCTTCAGTGTCACATGATCCTTCAGAAATCATTCTAATATGCTGATTTGCTGCTCAAGAAACATTTCTTATTATTGTTCTTATTAACATTTCTTCTTATTATTAAAATTCCTTATTACAGTTGTGCTGCTTAATATTTTTATGGAAACATGATATATTTTTTCAAAATTTGAAATTGAAATCTTTTAAAACATTATAAATGTCTTTACTGATCAATTTAATGTGTCCTTGCTGAAAAAATGTATAAATTTCTTCCATTTTTTTTTTTTTACTTTCACAATTGATCAGTTTCATGCATCCTTGCTGAAGAAAAAGTTCATTTCTTTCAAAAAAGAAATTCTTACTGACTCTGAGATGTAACTTTTCTGCTGAAAACCAGCCTAAGCTGGTCTCCCAACTGGTTTGTTGGCTGGTTTTAGTGGGCTTTGCGGCACTTTTTTAACTGGTCAGGCTGGGACACCTACACTAGGCTTTATACATTTTTAGGCAATACCCTGCTTTTGTAACACTGTGTCCTAACCAGACGCAATGCGATAAGATTCCAGCGACAAGCAAATTGTCTGTCCACACCAGACACAACGAGACTACGAGACACAACAAAAATAATCAAAAATCAAACAGAAGAGTATGTCAGCTCTTTCAATGAAATGAATAAGTGCATAATATAGTTCATAAATATTACACCATTTTAACATTATTAAAAAAATACATACTGAGTGACTGAAACAATCTCTCATAGAATACACTTGTTTGTTCACATTGAGGTACATTCTTGTTTCCTTTCATTTATTTTCAAGATCTGAGGTGAATTTTCCATTGTCGCTTTCAGTATGGCTATAAAGGTCACACAAAATGATACTCAAACTAACATTAAACGCTTTAAACATTAAATAAAGAGAACGGAAAAGCGTTGCGCCAAACACTAGTCCAAACCAGATAAATGAACAAACTCCTTCAGATCCAAAAGTAGCTAAAAAAAAAAAAGGGCTTATTTTGGCTTTTGTCATTTTGAACATTAAATAAAGTCCATACCTGAGATGATCATTTCTCTACTTCTGTATGTTCTAGCCACAATGTCGCAGATATAGAAAATATTTTTAAAATAGAATTTGTCATGGCTGGTTAGGACAAAAACTCTGATTAGCACAGAATACCTTTTATCGTGTCATGGCGTCGCGTCTTGTTAGGACACTGTCAAATGTTCTTTGCAGATGTTGAGTCACATTCAAGATTCCACACAAATACTGATTTCAGAAAAATAATCCATGTCGTTCTTACAGTTCAGTGCTCCCCAGGGCATTACTACAATACCAGCACCCACCGTTGTATCCGTTGCCCCATTGGAACCTATCAGATGGAGTTTGGCCAAAACTACTGCATTGCCTGCCCTGGAAACACTACCACTGATTTTGACGGATCCACAAACATTATGCAGTGCAAAAGTAAGCAAAGGTTATCCTTTTAATGAAGCCTCCCTATTTCTATTACAAATGTATTTTTATTCATTCTCTCTATAGTCCCATCTAAGTCGTTTCATTTGTTGTTGCCAGACAGACACTGTGGAGGAGAGTTGGGAGAATTCACCGGCTATATCGAATCCCCCAACTACCCCGGCAACTACCCGGCCAACATCGAGTGCACCTGGACCATCATCCCTCCCCCCAAGCGCAGAATCCTGGTCGTGGTACCCGAGATCTACCTTCCCATTGAAGACGAGTGTGGGGACTATTTGGTCATGCGAAAGAGCTGTGAGTGTTGCAGGGCTGTGATCTGGTGTCGAATGCATCGGCTCAGCAGGGTGATTGTGAATACACATGTGAGGAAATGGGGGGAGGAGCTGCATCGATGGGCTCATTAGGGCTCTCCTTCATCTCTTGGGGCTCGAATAAGCCACTTCAGAGGTCTTTAGAAGTTTCTTTACTGTTCCCACAGCTCTGCCCAATTCAGTGACGACTTATGAAACGTGCCAGACGTACGAGCGACCCATCGCTTTCACCTCCCGTTCAAAGAAACTCTGGATCCAGTTTCACTCCAACGAAGGAAACAGTGGAAAAGGCTTCCAAGTGCCTTATGTGACGTATGATGGTGAGAACTGTATTACTGACATTTTTTGTTGTATGATAAGTATTCATGTTGAGTATTTATATGCTGTGTAATATGCTTCTTAGAGGACTACCAGGAGCTCATTGAAGACATTGTTAGGGATGGGAGATTATATGCCTCTGAGAATCATCAAGAAATTCTTAAGGTATAGTGCACAGTTCATTTGTTTTTCAGAGCAACTTTTATTTTTAACAGGTCTCTTATTACAACTTGATGTTAAATAAATAATAATCAAGAGGTTTGCCATTCCAGGTCTCTGTAGTCAAAAAAGAGGCAATAGTGCCACCATGTGGAAGATGGGAAAATAGATACTGTGCTTTTGTATATGGCTTAAAGTTCATTTATGTTTTCTAATTAACTTTACAGGACAAGAAGCTAATGAAGGCCCTGTTTGATGTCCTGGCCCATCCACAAAACTTCTTCAACTACACTGCACAAGAGTCTAGAGAAATGTTTCCCAAATCATTTATCAGATTCCTCCGCTCCAAAGTTTTGAGATTTCTACGGCCCTGAATTTTGTAAAATAATCGTTTACTGAATGAATATTTGGCGCTCCAGCCAAATTTTAAATGACTGCCCTGGAACAAATATTCCTGAATGTTCTTGGCCGGCTGCATACTTGGAGATTCAAGACAACTTCTTGGACCTGACGAGAAGAGAGCTCATGAGAAACTTTCCTAAATAAGTCATTGGAACATTTTTCTCCTGAAGAAAATGAACTGTTTTTCCAGTGAATGCCCTTCTACAATTATAACATGAGCCGCCACATTTGTAGAAAAAGTTCCTGCCTGTTTCATTCCTTCATCACCCCAGAAGTGACTGTTACCGAAACATGTTAATTACAGCCGAAATTAGTCATTAAAAAAGAAGAGCAACTAGATTGCTTGTTATATATTATAGGTCATTTCACAAAAATTACCATTCTTTGTGAAAATGTTTGACCGGCTTATTTAGAAACTTCAGAACACTACTGAGGATGTAGTGGAAGTTAAAGCTCTTTTTTTTCCCGAGATTGAATGTGTTGTACATTATGTAAAAAAATTTGCATCAGCTCTCATGTTACTGCATTGTATTCTTTTTTTGCATTGTAGCCTTCTTCATACATCTCATTTGTCATACATCTTCATACATCTCATTTTCTTCATTTGTCTCCAATTTGAAACATCACGTATACACAATATTTTCAGTTGACATTATGGTCATTTGATATATCAGCTATCAATTTTTCCTCTTCATTCACTTTATTCACACTTCCATCACCCAAACTGATTTTTGGATTAAGAGGCTCTAGATGTAGAATTGATTACCCGTTGATGACATGCAGAGTAATTTAAATGTTTATATTTTTATGGTTGTACATCTAACATGTAAATAAAGAAATACACTCAAAATATATTTGTTGTTTAAAATGCACAGAAGTAGCCTATATCAGTGATTTACAAATGGTGCACACTCCAGGGGTTCTTGGAGAGATCAGACTTTTCTTTAATTATTGGTTTTAATAATATCTAATATAACATTTCAGGATCAGTAGGTTAAAATAAATTACTGTGATTCATTTATTTTTCTTTTGTAGCTATAATGCACAAAAAAAAAATATATATATATTTGCCATTTGATTTCTCAGTTCATGACCCCTTTATCCTTGGTAGGCTACTGGGTCATGACCACAGAGGAAACACCTGACTAACCTAACATGATGATATGAGTGTTTTATGGAAAGCTGTGTAGCATGGCTACAACGTGATGTGAATGCACCATCAAGTCTTTCAAAACAGTTTAGTTTTTACCGAGTAAACAGCAGAAACGGCGACAAACTCCCGTGGCACCTGACACAAACTCTGGCAGCTGCCAGACAACTTCCGGTAGCTGCCGCTGCCAGCGCTTGGGTAAGGAAGAATGGTTCCCACTCACATGTTTCCGCAGGGAAAGTGGTAATGTGCGGACCGGCTGCTAATGGTCAGCTGATGTGTCAGACAGAGTCCAGCCCTCAAGCTTTGTTTTGTTGACGTTTAATTGGAGCAAAAGTCTTCTAGCCATTGCATGCGTTACTAAAGGAACATTTACTCGTTATTCTGTGACATCTCTCTTCATTATTTGACAACATTGTCTTAAGCGGAAGCGAAAAAGATGAATCGAGTGACCCCAAGATGCGCTGTCAATATGTTGACGTTTTCATCGCTAGTGTGTTTTCTGCTGATATTATATGCACAAACATCAGAAGCTAAGGTAAATTAGGATATGTATCACTGTATTTTAATACATTAACGAAATTAATTTTGTTGTTGGGACAAACAACATTCATATTGTTTTGTTGGCAGAGCTAACTAGCCGTTAGCATGTTTCAATGTTTCTGCGAATTAAAAGCGTGATAAACTCGGAATCTGAAATCAACACTTTCTGATTGCAAACCATGTAAAATGATTTCCAATCTGACAGAAGTATGGTAGACCGAGTGCGCCAGTAGTTGGTTTCATTACATTCATTGGTGTAAATATATAAGCTTGTGTATCTGTGGTCACTTTTCTCAGAATTCAGAAGACATCAGGTGCAAATGTATCTGTCCACCCTATAAGGAGATTGATGGGCAGATCTACAATCAAAACGTTTCCTTGAAGGACTGGTAAATGATTTACTAAGCTTAATAAGAGACTACAATACTTTCTGTAAAGAACTACATGACTCTCTAGCCACTGATCCATAACGCCTCAAATATAATCATTTGCACAGCAATTGCCTTCATGTGGTGGAGCCGATGCCTGTTGAAGGCAAGGATGTGGAGGCTTACTGTTTACGTTGTGAATGCAAATATGAGGAAAGGAGCTCTGGAACCATCAAAGTAAGTTCAATGCCTTTATATGATAGATACCATATAAAAAGTTTGTTTAAATATTAGCTTAATAATTATCTTTCATTTTTGTTTTTTTACAGGTCACCATTATAATATATCTCTCTATTCTGGGCCTTCTGCTGTTGTATATGGTCTATCTGACACTGTTGGAGCCTATTTTGAAGAGAAGGCTGTTTGGCCATTCACAGCTCATTCAGAGTGAGGACGATGTTGGGGTAAGTGTTTTGTTACTTCTTTATGGATACAAGATTAAATTTTAGTTGTAAATGTTGGTAGTTTGGATGAAAATCTTGTGATGATGGATGAGTATAATGAAATAGATTTAGTTTAATTAGGACATCTAAGTAGCTTTGCTTTAATAAACATGCCGTAGGAAAAAAAACACATTACTGATGTGCATCTTGAGACAAAACAATTCCACCAACATATTTTAAGATATCCCAGTGCAAGTTGCTTTGAGTTAAAACAGCTCAAGCATGCATTTTAGTCCAGGACCAGGCTTAAGCCTTGTCTGCGAAACTGGTGGTTTGTGTTTTTAATTATAGGCATATGGTATAAAGTAGAAATAATGTGATAACATTACACTCTTTTGTTAAAAGGACCAACAGCCCTTCGCCAATGCCCATGATGTGCTTTCCCGTTCTCGCTCTCGCTCCAACATGCTCAACAAAGTAGAGCATGCTCAGCAGCGCTGGAGGAGGCAGGTCCAAGAACAGCGCAAGTCTGTCTTTGACCGTCACGTGGTTCTCAGCTAAAAGCATTCACAGTCTGGACTGTTACATGTGGGTTCTGGTACTGTGCTGAAGGCTGGGTCTTCTCCATGATGTCTGAGCAGCCCCCAGTGACCCCAGTGTGTACATCTCTTTTTGGTGTGTGTAGGTTTGTCGTCTTGACCAATGCATGCGACAAAACCTTGTTTATTATTAGTCTTGCTTGTTATACAGACTGTTTGCATTAATTATCACTTGCATTAATTATCACTGTGTTCCTGCATTTTGAAATCATGCACTCTAAAATTAGCAACAAAAAAAGTTTACTTCTACTGCAGTCCAGTCACACCGAATTTGATATGGGGATAGAAGTGCCAATTTCCTCAAAAAATTTGCTGATGCATTTATTCACAAAATGTTTTTTTATAAATGTCAGAATTGATACTAAACCCAAAATATTGATATCCAGTCTTTAGTAGTTTATTGTACATAGTAAAATTCCCCTCTCTCGCTCTTCTCTTTCTTACCTTGCAGTTTACTGTCAACTATTATTTGTAAATAATAATCTGTGGATGTGTTTTGTCATTGTCCCCCAATAATATGCTATTTAATGACTAACTTCCCAGGTCAGTTCTTCTCTAGCTTTGTGTAGATTCAGGTTCCTGATTCATGGTGTAAAAATATTCAATTCTTTTTTTTGTTTTTGTTTTTACCACTCTTGATGGACAGTACTTTCCATGGCACATTCTTTGAAGATTTCAAAATTATACTCTTTGTCATTAATATGTGTATATATAATAATTGAAATGTTCAGGTACATGATTTAACAGAGAGAGCTGTTTTGACATTTTGATTTACATTACAGTTCTCTTAATAGGTGAACTATGGTTTCCTGTGTCAGACTCAGTTTGTTCCTGCCATATCACATCAGCGTTGGCAAACCCGCTGCTCAAATGACGTAGTTCCGGTTGATGGTAATGGTACTTTTAATCCACAGGAGGCGCTGTTTTCAAGTCTTTTTACATTAGCCCTGGATTCATTTATTATTAAACGCGCAGTTATCTTTAGTATTAAAAAGGATAATACAATTGAGTCAGCTGAAAGCTATTTTAGTCCTGATGTTAGGAAAATTTTCATATGCTCACTGACTGTACATCCAGATATGCAAGTAAAATACACTTTTAAAATAATAAACAGTAAACTGTTAATTTAAACTGTTTTGCTGAAAAGCTGAGCGTATTACTTTAACCGAAAGTATTTACCTCATAAACGAGCAAGACAACGTGAAATAGCGTTACACAGAGTGCATATCACATTTCTCATCATTTCCTGCGCTACCTCCTCCTCCCAGCCAAAAGTCATGGGACAGACAATTCAGCGCGCACTCCACTGAAAACTAACTTACGCAAACTCACAGCATGGATATGTGAAAAGGTAACCTTGGCAACGCAAGCGTCACTTACCCCGAAAAGGTATGGATTTCTTTATCTGACTGCCTCCTTTATGTTCGCTGCTCCTGTGCGTAACTCTTTTGAATTGCTTGTTTTGTAAATTGGATGAAAAAAATCTCACAAATGTCATTAATGCTAAAACTGATTGTAAATGACCTAACTAGTCTGCAGAGACAGAAAGAAAAGCACAATGACAGAACAAATACAGTGGGAAAAGTAAAATAATAATAATAATGGCATAAATTACAGAAAAGATGGCATGCGTTTTGATGTAGGCCTAAGCAATTCAAATTGACAAGAGACTCAAATGTGTTTTGAAGTCGCCAGAACAAAGGCGAGACAATTTCCTTCATCATAACAGATATATCGGCTATAATACACACGCTTATGAGAGCACAGTAATAATCAGAATGGATATTTCATCATGTGCATAAGAGATTCATAAACTCCTCTGTGGTGTTTTACTGTGATGCAGAAACAAGGAGGCGCTCTTAAACCTTCTAAAATCACCAAGAATACGAATTCTGTGCCTCTGAATCGTTGTTTTCACAGTTATCATTATGAATTTTTTCCAAAAATTAATTATTTTATGCTCATTGGTTGAGTTTTGCTATTACTAGTACTGCTAGTAAAATCTGAAATAAAAAAATAAAAATAAAAAAACAGCAACAGTTTACCGTTTTTACACTTAAATAACACCATCATGTTTGTGTCTGTCCCCCAGGGCCAAAGCAGCTCTCTCTGTTCCTCTCTCTGTGTCTCTGCCTCCCTCAAGGCTGTCTTTGACTGTCCTTTCCCTCTGCCTTATCATGGTTCCTTGACAGATCTATCTCAAATGTTCTTCAAATCTTTTTGGTGTGTCCTTGTTCAAAATATAATTCTTGTCACTGCAACATTGCAAGAAACTCATAAAACAATGGTTTATAGTGATGTCAAAATATATGTGCATTTTTAAACATTTTGTCAGACATATTAATATTATGTTTAAGTGTTATTATCGCAATCAAAATAATACATAATAAGCTAAATTATAATATATAGTAAATAATAATACATTTTAGGATAATGCTAGCTAGGATACAATTAAAGATAACAGTTTATGGTAACTATGTTGACAGTTAAATTTTTTTCTTGCTTATGCTCAAGTTCATGCAATTACAAAAAAATATTATCTATCTAATATCTCTCTCTCTCTCTCTCTCTCTCTCTCTCTCTCTATATATATATATATATATATATTAGATTTATTTTATAAAAAAAAAATGTTTTATTATCTTACACAGTTTTGCTTCTGTGAGTAAATATGTTTTTATTGAAAAACAGATACTGATTATATATATATATATATATATATATATATATATACAGTGTTTCCGCTACATTCATTCTGCCGTGGCGGGCCGCCACACCTAAAATCATCCCGCCACGGCTGCAGCTTCTCGGTCAGATATTGTGTGTGTTATTGTTAAGCCCCACTAAAGGCATACAAAACATTGTAAAGCACCATAACGTTTTCGCACTATATTCCAAGACTTCTAAAGTCATTCAATAGCATAATGTGAGGTAAAAATGTATATTTAAGTCGTTAAGTTAAAGTTAATGGAAACTCATCTCTCCTCAGTCATTCTCCATTCAGCATTCAAACAGCGCGTCGCGTTCGGTTACGACAGTAACACGACGACACTCTCTTCAAGATCAATGTTCCCATTATTTTACTTTATTTGTAGATAAAGGTCTATGGTTTGCATAAAATTACTTTATCTTGCTGGAGTTTATAGCGCTTTCTAAATCATATTCCTTTCTCCCGGGTGTCTGTTACTAGGCTACAGCACTAGAGTAGAGAGCACTATGAATTGTTCTTCATGCGCACTGTAAGTTAACTGAAATTTAAAACTGTTAAAAGAGAAGGCTCAATAAACTGTTGCATAGATATAAAACAATAAACATAGATAGATATAATCTCTTCGCTTTGTGCTTTGAACTTTTCAATGCGAAGCGCTGCGCGCTGTGACTTTGCGTTGCTTCAAGTGCATCACTCTGCGCACGGGATGCGCATAATCGCTTTGCCGCTCTTATTGACGCCTTTCATGTTATAATGCTTAGGGGAGGTTTAAACACCTAGGATAAGGGGGCGTGGCCCCCTTATCAATGGGAATATCACGAAATGGGCCACGCCCCCTCCCCCTGGCGAAATGGGCCTGCCACCACGGCTGGAAAAAATCCTAGAGGAAACACTGTATATATATATATATATATATATATATATATATATATATATACATTTTTACTCACATGTAGGTTACATGGGGGACTAAAGGCTCCCGTCACAGAATGACCCATAATACAAAACATTTGAACTTATTCTGAGCATTGGCATTACATTTAATATAGACTACAATATTCTGCTTTGTATTTTCAAATGCCTGAACAGAATGATTGTGACAGGAATGTTTTGCGGTAAGGGTGTGTTAAACTTTTAGGGCTGTTGCAAATGGATACTGTTTTATTTTGGAAATTTTGTGGGTTTTGCTGAACATGACTAATGATGAAGCCCTTACAAATGTGTTCAAAGAAGGGGAAACAATTTAACAGCTCTGGCATAATGTTTTTTATAACTACTTTAACAGGTGTAAATTGTACTTTTGACTTGTAATTGACTTGCTACTAGAAATGTAAGAGTATTTGAAAATAAATACAGAGACGTAAGGAAATACCTTATAAACCAAATAGTTATTATGTTTTCCATCATGGCAATGTGACATGTTAATCTCATTGTATAATAGTTGAAAGGTGCAAGTGCCCTGGTAATGCTTTGCAGTATTAATCCATCAGAAATTAGTTAAAAAACAACAGAATGATTCATTATACCCTTGGTTTAATCACTTAAAGGGATAGTTCACCCAAAAAGGAAAACTCTGTCATCATTTACTCACCCGTTTCAAACCATTCTTTCTTCTGCTGAACACAAAGAAGGTATTTTGAAGAATGTATGCATTTTTTCCGTATGTAAGTCAATGGAGTCAACTGTTTGGTTATCCATTTTCTTCAAAATATCTTATTTTTTGTTCAGCAGAAGAAAGAAACTCAGGTTTGGAACAACTTTTGGGTGAGTAAATGATGACAGAATTTTAATTTTTGGAGAAGTTGTGGATTTTTTTTTTCTGCACAAAACAACAAAATTAAAGGAACCACAAAATCTGCCTCGTTTTGTGGTTCCAACTGCTGGGGCCATATCGAGAATGCATTATGTTTCGATTGGGTCAAGACTGCAACACAGCAGCAATGATTAGAAAAAGGGCTGTTTGGCTTTTAGATTAGTCCATAGCAAACATTTCCAGGCACATATTTTGGTGTCATGATCGCCGTAACAGGCATCCTCTACCATGGGAGATGTTTAGTCTGGGCCTCATGGTGTTCTTGAAAAAAATCAGGATGCAAGGTTAAATATAGTGAATGCTCGCTTGAAACGTGAGAACATGACAGGCTAAGATATGACCTTAGGAAATATACAGTGTACCAAATTTCATCTGTCTTATTCATAATAATATGGTTGTGCAGTAGAAACACTAGTTTCAGCAGGTTTATTGTCTCTCAAGGTTTTGCAATAAAAATACATTTATGTATTTCCTTATAGAGTCTGGTCCAATTCAGTATTTGGACTGACCCAACACTAGAATTATTTCCCTCTCAAAACACCTGGAGTGAATGACTGTTCTTGGAAACGAATGAAGTGATGATCTGTGGCGTAACTGTCCCTGAGCTATTATATCAGCAATTTAATACAGATTTGAGGATAAACTCCCACAGTGTGTTTCAACACACCAGATACCACATTTCTGATTAGGTATTGGTACAATTTGAAAGGGTTCCAGAGAAAGTTGTCATCATACAGCTTTTGTCAACCACAGATCCCTGCTTCTTATTGCGGTTGCTTATTTGGCAGCAGGTTGCTTGCACAACTTTCAGTCCAACAGAGACTGCTTTTAAAACATCAAACCTTTTGACAGAACTTGGAGGATCAGTTTAAAAAGTGATATTCAGATTGTGCAAAATTTGACATTTTACTTTTTTCTCCAGTTAGACCTGATGTGAAAAAGTTGGCAGGCTTGGTTTGTTCTGTAGATATTCTAAAGTTGTGTTTGATAGTTTGACAACTGTCTGTCAACTTAAGTCACTCAACAGCTGTTTTTTAATAAAATGTCACAAACTTAATAAAGTCTATGTAGCCTATCTATACTTAATGTAGCTTTCTCATCAGTCTTGTCCCCAAGTACGCTTTCAAAGGTTCTTTGTCTGTTTGTTCTCGAACTTATACTTCACATAGGCCTACATGTGATTGAATACCACAGTTTAGACAGCTGTTTGCAATGTGTTATGCTTGTCCTCTGCTGCTGAGAAACTGAACATATGGATAATGGTAAATCATGGATGACTCC